AGCCGTGAAATCGATCCATGTAGTTCGGGGGGTAGAGCGAAGCCGAAATGTTCTAATAGTTGGGCTGGAGAGGCAGGGTGCCTTTGGAAATGGGTGGAGCTTCAGAGAATGAGGTGGGTCGAATTGACAAAAACTTCTTCGCAATAAATTAAGGTTGTCCCGCTCTTAGTTGCGAAGCAACCTTAATTTGATGCGAAAGCGTTAAGGTCATGAAATGAAGATCTGACCATCTGAGTAGGGAATCGATGAGACGGAAAGCCGCGCGGAAAATGCACTATGAAATATCTGAGGAATCCGAGTGTGCGGCTCATCCTAAAATGTGGCTGACCGAAGCCGGAAGCTCAAGTCTAATTATTATTGTTTATGTGTTCCTGTTAATTCCTTGTCCTCTCAAAATGCTCACAAAGTGCAAGATAGCTGTGATTAATTGTAAAAGAAAGAATGAAAATGAATTAACAGGAAAGGAGGTATAGAGTTTCAAAAACGAGAAGAGCGTCGGGTGCAGACCATACACCACAAGTGACGACGGCCTCCACAAAATGTAATGTTTTCTGCCAATGAAATGATTAGCCTGTTGCAGTTGTATTCTATCAGTTGTCACTAATTACAACTAACCAAAAATCAGCTATCACTATGAACCACTACTAATCAGATTTACTTGGAGGCGTCGTCACTTGTGGTGTATGGTACCCGACGCTCTTCTAGTTCTTTGGAAAAGAGGGTAAAAGGTTTACGGACAAAGCATTTGCTTTTGATCAATCCTGTTTGAGATGAGCTGTGTTCTCTACTTCCATTCGAAACGGCTAAACAAAGGGAAAAGGAAGCATTGAAAAAAAAGAAAAAGGAAAGATTGGAAGGGATTACTTAAATATACTAACACTAAAAGTAGAATTGTTGGAATGTGTAAAAAAGACAAGCTAACAGAATAATTCCATGTAAGCAAGTATTACAAGGACAGGAGAATTAGTAGGACTACATGAACAATAATAATTAGACCTGAGCTTTCGGCTTCGGTCAGCCACATTTTAGGATGACCGCACACTCGGATTCCATTCAGAATTATAGTGGCATTTTCCGGCGCTTTCCGTCTCATCGATTCCCTACTCAAATGGTCAGATCTTCATTTCATGACCTTAACGCTTTCGCATCAAATTAAGGTTGCTTCGCAACTAAGAGCGGGACAACCTTAATTTATTGCGAAGAAGTTTTTGTCAATTCGACCCACCTCATTCTCTGAAGCTCCACCCATTTCCAAAGGCACCCTGCCTCTCCAGCCCAACTATTAGAAAATTTCAGCTTCGCTCTACCCCCCGAACTTCATGGATCGATTTCACGGCTTTTACCTGTTTTTAGATCATGCTTCGGAAACACCTCATTCACACTCACTCAAACTCTTCACAAATACGCTGTCGGTGAAACTCATATGATTGCTCCATTTCCCGCTCTTCTGATAGTTTCTTAATCTCTTTTTTAATTTCTTTTGTCTTATGTTTTGTTGTTAAGTGCTGTTTCTGGCCGCAGCTCGCCATGCAAAATTTATCACAAGAAAGCTGGGTTGTGGGAGAAACTCCTTGCCCAGGCGGGCATCGAACTTGTACCTCCCACTTCCAAGGCAGTTGTGTGACCGAGTACAGGGTAGTATGGCTCTATTCCCAAATGTGGCGAAAAGTTTTGCCCGTATTTCTGTGTGATCTTTCATAATTACATATTTACTACGGAGCTAACCCATGTTGTATATTAGCCCTAGCCTAAGGATACACAGCTTGGTGGATGAAGCTCTTCTTAGGAATCCAAAAGCTCCGCCTGCCTAAGTAATTTGGTCACCCAATCTGGATCTTCTTCACCCTAGGCTTGGGCGAAA